CAGCCACTACTCCTAGTTTACATCCAGGTTTTATCAAAATTACCACAAAAACCGAAAGAGAATTAACTATCAATGATTACGCTTAACAGTTTCTCCAAAAGTAACTAGTTCATAAACATAACTCACCTCTTTCCTGATCATGACATCGTTCTTGTAGTTGCTGTTGTTTGCATATCTCAGTTTACCTGCAAATAAAATATTTAGCTTTCAGTTTAAATTCTAAACAATTCATCACTTTTAACAATATGCATGCATTTATTACAACCCCTTTAGGCCACATGGCGATTATACGCGCATAAAGCATTGATTAAACATTGCTGCATTCATAGTAAGTATTAAGGCATTATTACGGTCTAAACATAAACAACTATCATTTCTAATATAGTGAAAACCATTAAAAAAAATTGGCGCTAGTAGCTCGTTTTAAGTGCGGCCTACCCACTGCTAGCGACGTTAGCTTATACGCAGGTCAACCAAAGCATCTTTTGTAACGCTTACTGAACTTACCGTCAGGTCTGAATTCAAATTCCAGGAACTCATGTCCAAACTTCCCCTTGTGCCCAACATAATATCTCAAATAGAAATCACTTGTTGACATATTTACTCTCCAAAAAGTACTCTTTCGGGTGAAATTTGCGAAGCACAACTCAGCTAACACGACCTGTTCGGTGCTTTGCCAATCATGCACGCATGCGCAAAGGATCACCGGGATATTGACTTTCCTGCCCAGATTTTAGTCTTTCGGGAACGCTATGGATGTATTACTCCGTCGTTCCTGCTTTAGAACACATGGCATTATTTTTAAATGTGGAATACCACAAAACTCGACAATTTAAAAGATATACAGAATCCCGCGTGCAAACATCAATGACAAAAAAAAAACGTTTTTTTTTCAGTTTCTTTTCTTATTGACTCTTCTGGGTTAGGTTTGATTTCTCCGATTCATTCTTAGTATTGTTGATCTTAAAATGCTTCTTTAATTTAATAACTTAAGTGTTCATTCTGCGGCTTATCTTGATCAAATTTCTACAAAAAAGGCAGTATGTATACACAAAAAGGTTTTGCCTGAAAGACTCTACCCAGGGTTTTAAAATCTCACAATCTCCAGCGACGTCGCATGTAACTAACGTCATCACCTTCGATGAACTGTGTTGCCGACAACGCACGTGTAAGTACTGTAACTATCTAGTCATGGCAGGCTCGTTTTCCCAAGAGCTTGAGGAGTTGTTGAATCCTTTGCCCAAATTTGCGGATCCAGAAGATTACGATGACGACGCGACCAAAGCCAGGGTCATCGAAAGGTTCCATGACGACGACGACGACGACGAAGATGGCTTCGGCCTCAGTGCCCTGCGGAAGCACAATACATCCCTGCTCTCAGACACAGACAGACGGTACGTGGGGAAGGCAGTCTCTCGTAAACAGCTGCTGATGGATATTGAGGGATCTGCTGAGGAGGAAGAAGAAGAAGACGAGGAAGGTAGCACAGAAGATTTAGAAGAAGATGAGGAAGAGAGTCCTATGGGGGAGGAGGAGAGTTCTATGGGGGAGGAAGAGGCTGCTGCTGATAGTGAAAATGATTTAAAGGCTGATGAAGAGGAGTTGGTGGGAAGTGATGCACAGCTAGATGCCAAGCTGCCATTTAAGATGAAGGGCACTGACTTCATCTTCCCTCAGGGAGTGGACTTCTCCAAGCTGACTGAGGGCATGGATGACCTGGGAGTGAGTGGGGACGATGATGATGCTGATAGTGGCAAGGAGACTGAAGGCAGTGATGAAGATGAGAGCTATGTTGATGAGAAGGAAGATGATGATGAAGATGGTGAAGAAGACGGAACTGTTCGCACATTTTCTCAAGAGAAAGTAGATGCAGAGGTTGAGAAAGGGAAGGCTGTGAAGAACCAGTTGGCTCTGTGGGATCAAATGCTCAAGGGTCGAATCAAACTCCAGAAAGCTCTGGTGACAGCCAACCAGCTTCCACAGCCGGACACATTCACAGAGTTCAAGAGCATAGGGGGTCCTGAGTTTGCGGGGGCACTGAAGAACACCCACAAGGCTTTAAAAGCTCTTCAAAGGTCCCTGCTGGAGCTGCATGATCAGCTGCTGTACCAGAACCCAGACATGAGGGCCATCGTTCTGGGGAAGGCCGATGATGAGATAAACAGTGATGAGAATGAGGATGAAGAGGGATCAGTGCACAAGGGTGGAGCACGGAAACAGAAGCTGGAGATGGCAGACTACCCAGACTTCATGGCCAAACGTTTTTCAGCATTCCAACCTTACTGCAACGCCACACTACGGAAGTGGCATGACAAAACCAGACTGACCACGGGCAAGAGCAACAAGGGTTTTGGGGCATTTGATAGGGACATCCTGACCCAGGTGGAGCAGGTGCTGATGGACAAAGAGAGGCTGGTGCGACGCACCCAGATCCGACGCTCAGAATACAGAGTCTTGGGAAAAAAGGAGACCTCTGAGACCATCACCAATGAAGGAGGGGATGTAGAGCAGCCGCTGAAAGCAAACATGCATCTCAAAGATCTGGATGAGGACATATTTGATGATGATGATTTCTACCACCAGCTGCTAAGAGAGCTGATTGAGCGCAAGACGAGTGCAACAGATTCCAATGACCAGGTGGCTATGGGCAGGCAGTGGCTGGCCATCCAGAAATTGCGCAGCAAGATAAAGAAGAAAGTAGATACCAAAGCCAGCAAGGGACGTAAAGTCAGATTTCACATTCACAGTAAACTGGTCAATTTTATGGCACCAATTGACCACAGCTCAATGAGTGACGAGGCACGCAGTGAACTGTATCGTGGCCTCTTTGGCCAGAACTCCTCAGTCAGAGAGTCACATTAAGGAGGTACTTTTGGAGCACATCTCAGATGCTAGGATATAAACTGATCAGTGCCTTCTCTACATACCCAGGATTGAGGCTGGGCAGCAGTGTGGATTAGGATGGAGACTGTGCCTGCTCTTCACATTGGTTGGACAGTTCTGGTGCTCCGACTTGACAGGAATAAAATAGACTCAGAGGGCACATGTAATTTTTAATAAATACCTTTTACTGAGTACAATTCTACAGTATGTGTTGTTGCCTACTGACCAAATTGTGATAAAAAACTGAAATATGTACATAATACATAGAAAGTGTTAAATGGAATTGAAGGAAAACAAATGTGTGCTTTTTCTTCTGTCAACAAGTCTCATATGGTTCAGGTCAAGTGTTTATTTCAGATTGCCCCCAAACATATTATATATGCTGAGTACCAATTCCATATACCACACAAATTGTATTAGGGTGTACTAATCTTTATAGTATGATGTTTTTTCAGTTAGTATCCAACAAGTTCATACTTTTTTAAACTAACAGAAAATGATACAGTACTTGTGCCATCGTTAACCAAACTGCAGTTTTAAAATGTCACTGCCAATGGTGGGGGGGGGTATACCATTTCACTTTGTGCATTGCAGTGTGGGAGAACTGTCCATCAACGGCACATTCAGAAATACTTTGTGCATACTGTCTGTTTTAATTGAATTTTATTATTCTCACTTTTGTGTGCTCACACTACAAACTGAAAACTGTTGAGAATTAGGATGCAGTCTTTGCAGGATTTTGCACACAGCTGTTCACTAGACTTATGACATTACATGCACTGCAGAAAAATGACATGACCTCAGTGTCCTCAAAGGTACATATGGCCCAGATGGCCACTACATGACTTCACTGTATCGAGTGAAACGTGTAATCTTTTCTGGGTAATTAGAATAGACAGACCACGAAGCAGCATGTGGCACTTGAACACAGATTAGACTTAACTGAGGCAGAGTGACATAAAATGACAACCAGAAATGGAAATTTTTGAATCAAACACATGAAGTTGTTAGTGACAGATGTGTCAACTCAAGGAAGCAAAGAATACCTGAGAGGTTTATCTTAAGAAATATGTACACATGAAGAAAACTATGAGAATGCATTTGCATTGGGAACTGAATGCATAATTTAAATGAAAATTTGCATACAAGTGTGCCTGAGGATTCTAATTTAAGGGAATCAAAGAAAATAATACTTTGTGGTAAGTCCATAACAACATAGTTGTTTGTTATATTACTGACATCTCATTGAGTTACAGTAATGTCAATACTGCATTAAGGTAAAACTCAATTAGTCCACAAAGACAGTACAGAAGATCATCTTTGGTGATGATTTCATACATCATCTTATTTGAGGAAGAAACTGGTTGTTTTATTTGCCTAATATGTAGTTTTGATTTACAAAAGGCAACTACAGCCTGGGGCCAAACAAACATTAGAAATCTCACCCCATTAGTACATTATTTCCAAAATCAAAATATGCCTTATAGAGAGCTTGCAAGTTGCATTGATAAAGGGTAAGGTCACACAGTGAGGTAGGGTAAGGCCCTGCCATCAAACAGCATGTTGCTACATTGCATGTATTGTATGGTTAAAGTGTCCACTATTTGTTTTAGACACCATAACTCCTTTTTCACAGTACGCAGGTGTTGCTTTTCAGTGCTGCGGTACAGACAAGCAGCAGCAGCTTTAAGTAAGATTACAAACTAGCCCCTTTCTATTTGTTTGCCTTCTATCTCATATGCTTCGCAAGCTAAAGAAAAAAATATAACTGAATACAAGTGCTTTAAACCAACTCCTCCTTTTTTGATTTCCTCGGTCCAAGCAGAAGTCAAAAGGTCTTGATTTCCTGGCAGTTACTCCTGCCTTGTTAGTCACGCTATAGAACACATTTGGCACGTGCAGGTGAATCTTCCTGAGTGCTGCGCTCAGTGGGGCCGACTACTGGACTCCAGGTTTGGTTGCTTCTTCGTTGTTCCATAATCATTAAACCACCCATTCAGTCGTTTAGTCAAACCACCATTTAGAATATCCTGAATGTGCTGAACTATGAGATTTATAGCAACTGTGGAGAGATAAAGAGACTGTTAGACTGTTGTCTCATGTATTACCAGTGTATTACCATTACATTTGAGGCATAATTGCAGATTTTTGAAAAGTACTCTTTGTGTAAGCCAGAAGGTTAACAAAACTTAACACTGATCTGGAAATATTTCTGTAATGCTTCTAACCATCTGGATGAAAAAATATCCCATCCACTGCGCAATAAAAAGATTTTTAACTCGGGTAATTATTTTTCAAAAATTCTGAGGCAACTGTGTCTCAAATATGGCAATGCAGCACAACCTAATGATAGGTCAGGGTCCTGCTCCAACATATAGTATGGTTTTCTTTTGCAACTTGTTTTGGACACTTTTGAATTCTTTTCTCACATCAACAGACAAAGCAGCTTTGTTCTCCCACCAGAAGATGCTTTTGCTTCCTTATTCTCAAGAGCACAGTTCCCAGCTCAAGAGGTCAACAATAAACACAGCTGTGTCCTTCACGATAACACTGTTGAGACTAGAGTCTCAAACATTTCGTTTCAGAAATCTTTTCTCTAATACCGTGTACTTGAAGAATCTCCCAAGTTAAAAGCACAAATACTCACCAGTGTTATCAGCTCCTCTTGGTATAATAACATCAGCATATTTCTTTGTCTAAGTGGTGCCAACAAAAAGGGAAAAAGGTTTATCCACAAGTCTGTGTTCAGGGATACAAAAATGCTAACTTGAGCTGTGTAGGTACTTGCACTCACTGGTAGACAGAACTCTTCAAATGCAGGCTTGACAAAGGTGATGTACTGTGTTAGAACGCTTTCCAAGTCCCGGCCACGTTCACTTATGTCACGCAGCACTGAAAATAATGAAACGTTTTCTTTAAAAAAGATATTTTGGGCAAGTTAGATGAGAAAAATATCATTCCTGTCTTTATGGTAAACACGAAGCTACAGTCAGCCACTGGTTAGCTTATCTTAGCAGAAAGACTGGAAACAGTTAGCTTAGTTCTGCCCAAAGATTTTTTTTAAAAACTACCTACCTGTACCTCCAAAACTCCCAAATTAACATGTTATATCTTGATTATTTAGTCTGTACAAAAAGTGACATATAAAACTAGCATGTTGTGGTTCTACAGTGGGTCATATCATGGTCATATCATCATATGGTGACGGCTGACTCCAGGAAGTTACTGTGCTTGTACATACTGTACATAGCCCTTGCAAAAAATCTCATTACACTTTGGTTTGTGTACTGATTAAACAAATAAAAATAAAACATGTTAATCTGTGATCTTTAGAAAGGCTGATAGGTGGAAGTTTTTATCTTCAGACAGAGCTACGGTAGTTTCCCCCATCCAGTCTTTATGTTAAGCTAAGCTTACCGGCAGCAGGTTGTAGCTTCATATTTAGCATACAGGCATGAGATTACTATTGATCTTCTTGTCAAGAGTTTGGCCCAAATTGCCAGACCATTCCTTTTGCTTTACATCTCTTTCAGTGAATATTAGACTTGTCTCTTGTATTTTAATATTTTTACGGAATTGTCTAGTCATGCTTGTGTGTCTTACCCCTACGAGATAGCCGTGTGTCTGCATCAGTGTCCACAAACAGCTTCATCTGGAAAAGGTCTCGAATCTCCTGAGAGTAGAACATCAGGATACCCTCAAACAGCACCACATCAGCAGGGTACACTACCACTGTCTCTTCCTTCCTGTCACACAAAAGACATTAAGTAGGCTAGAAAAACACTTAAAGTATACCCATGTAATATTTTCTGAGTAGTAATAGTAGTAGTAGCCAGAACAAGTAAGACTGTATCAGTATAATCCCATGATGGATTGAACTGATAGGTCATGTGTTTTATTGCTAATAAACTGTACTTCTCCTTTGTAACAGAAAGAATGTTATTTCTCATTTCCAAAGGGGCACAGTCAATGTTTAACTGTTGCAGTGCATTGCATACAGATAAAAAAAAACACAAAAGTCAAAGTTCAAAAGGATCATTCCAGTGTTTTTGCAGAATTCAGCTCATTTACTCCATTTTGCACATACTTTGCAATACTAATGATGATATTCCAAAGTAATGTGGTGTTTGATATTTTCAGATATGTTTCTCCTACATTCCAGGAAGCCATTGGCTTCTATTCATTTTACTATGATATGAAAATCAGTTTGTGTAAAATGTAATTATTTGACCACAGGTCTGTTTGTTATTAAAGTTAATGTTATTCTTACATCATGACACATCAGATCACTCTTTCATAGTAAGTGGGCTGACACCTAAATAAACGACCTTAATTTTGTATCTTTATGGACTTGGTAAGACTCATTTACCTGGAATGAGAAACGAAGTCATAAACAGGGATGTGTACTGTTTTTCCCTCCTTGATGTCCCAAAGAGTTGTGATTATGAGGTCATTGTCAAATGCATCTATACAGAAGGAAAGATTAGCAATTAAAATCTTAGCAGAAGAAGAAATTAAATGCAGCCATTAGAGGCCAGCAAACATCCATCCCCGATTACCACGTTGCCAGATAATGTGTGAAAGCATCAAGGCATTTTAGTGACTAACATAAACATACCTGGGTGGTCAAAATTGAACTGGCCCCTGAGTGCCTTGGCCTTCTGCTCTGGTGTGAGGACCCTGTAGAAGCTGTCCTGGCTGAGGATGGCAACTTGCCTCTGGTGGTGGTCAATCTCGTTTTGCCCCAGCAGCTCCATGATCTTGTTGCACACTGACGACTAGCCACAGAAGAAAAACGATAAGTGTGAAAAAATACTGACCCTTTGATCTAATTTCCACATCCTTTCAATTTTGGAAAGCGTGGCTGATTGTAAAACACATAAACTTTAATTTATACTTTATTTAGTTTACTCATGTCTTTCTGCCCTTGAAAGATAGCCAGGTGTGTTCTTACAAAACACAGTGTATTTAAAAGCTGGCACGCACATAGACTGCAGCTTACTCCCTATTCAGATAACATGTGGGAGAACAGGTGGTTCTGTGAGCAGTTACTCCTGTGGGAGAAAGTCAAACCCACAAACAACTGTCTGCTGAGCCACAACTTAAAGTTTGTTTATTTAATCATCTATAAAATCAACCTACTGTCACCAACTTATGTCAAGGCTACTTAAATATTAAATACATTGAACTAACTACCAGGTTTACAGCATCAAAAATGTCACAAACTGCAGCCTGGAGGCAAAACAGCTTGGCTTGTTTCACTGCTTCTCTCACATAACAATAACCTAATCTGTCATACATAATAATAAATAAATACATTTTTTGATTAAATAATATTTTGCCTTATGTGCATCCCAATTACCTTTGCAAAGTAACCATGCAATAAAATACAAAACCAATGATTCATTTTTTTTTTAGCTTCATATTTAGCATACAGGCATGAGATTACTATTGATCTTCTTGTCAAGAGTTTGGCCCAAATTGCCAGACCATTCCTTTTGCTTTACATCTCTTTCAGTGAATATTAGACTTGTCTCTTGTATTTTAATATTTTTACGGAATTGTCTAGTCATGCTTGTGTGTCTTACCCCTACGAGATAGCCGTGTGTCTGCATCAGTGTCCACAAACAGCTTCATCTGGAAAAGGTCTCGAATCTCCTGAGAGTAGAACATCAGGATACCCTCAAACAGCACCACATCAGCAGGGTACACTACCACTGTCTCTTCCTTCCTGTCACACAAAAGACATTAAGTAGGCTAGAAAAACACTTAAAGTATACCCATGTAATATTTTCTGAGTAGTAATAGTAGTAGTAGCCAGAACAAGTAAGACTGTATCAGTATAATCCCATGATGGATTGAACTGATAGGTCATGTGTTTTATTGCTAATAAACTGTACTTCTCCTTTGTAACAGAAAGAATGTTATTTCTCATTTCCAAAGGGGCACAGTCAATGTTTAACTGTTGCAGTGCATTGCATACAGATAAAAAAAAACACAAAAGTCAAAGTTCAAAAGGATCATTCCAGTGTTTTTGCAGAATTCAGCTCATTTACTCCATTTTGCACATACTTTGCAATACTAATGATGATATTCCAAAGTAATGTGGTGTTTGATATTTTCAGATATGTTTCTCCTACATTCCAGGAAGCCATTGGCTTCTATTCATTTTACTATGATATGAAAATCAGTTTGTGTAAAATGTAATTATTTGACCACAGGTCTGTTTGTTATTAAAGTTAATGTTATTCTTACATCATGACACATCAGATCACTCTTTCATAGTAAGTGGGCTGACACCTAAATAAACGACCTTAATTTTGTATCTTTATGGACTTGGTAAGACTCATTTACCTGGAATGAGAAACGAAGTCATAAACAGGGATGTGTACTGTTTTTCCCTCCTTGATGTCCCAAAGAGTTGTGATTATGAGGTCATTGTCAAATGCATCTATACAGAAGGAAAGATTAGCAATTAAAATCTTAGCAGAAGAAGAAATTAAATGCAGCCATTAGAGGCCAGCAAACATCCATCCCCGATTACCACGTTGCCAGATAATGTGTGAAAGCATCAAGGCATTTTAGTGACTAACATAAACATACCTGGGTGGTCAAAATTGAACTGGCCCCTGAGTGCCTTGGCCTTCTGCTCTGGTGTGAGGACCCTGTAGAAGCTGTCCTGGCTGAGGATGGCAACTTGCCTCTGGTGGTGGTCAATCTCGTTTTGCCCCAGCAGCTCCATGATCTTGTTGCACACTGACGACTAGCCACAGAAGAAAAACGATAAGTGTGAAAAAATACTGACCCTTTGATCTAATTTCCACATCCTTTCAATTTTGGAAAGCGTGGCTGATTGTAAAACACATAAACTTTAATTTATACTTTATTTAGTTTACTCATGTCTTTCTGCCCTTGAAAGATAGCCAGGTGTGTTCTTACAAAACACAGTGTATTTAAAAGCTGGCACGCACATAGACTGCAGCTTACTCCCTATTCAGATAACATGTGGGAGAACAGGTGGTTCTGTGAGCAGTTACTCCTGTGGGAGAAAGTCAAACCCACAAACAACTGTCTGCTGAGCCACAACTTAAAGTTTGTTTATTTAATCATCTATAAAATCAACCTACTGTCACCAACTTATGTCAAGGCTACTTAAATATTAAATACATTGAACTAACTACCAGGTTTACAGCATCAAAAATGTCACAAACTGCAGCCTGGAGGCAAAACAGCTTGGCTTGTTTCACTGCTTCTCTCACATAACAATAACCTAATCTGTCATACATAATAATAAATAAATACATTTTTTGATTAAATAATATTTTGCCTTATGTGCATCCCAATTACCTTTGCAAAGTAACCATGCAATAAAATACAAAACCAATGATTCATTTTTTTTTTTGTATTCAAAAGAAACAGCAACACTTAGACACAACTCTTCAAAGGCCCTGAAACACTGCAAATACTGGATACAGAACAGATAATGATAATGCAGATATTCAGCATCTCAGTGCCAATGAACCAGCCAGTGAAATGAGGTGATCTGAAAATAAGAGGGGGCCTGACACACAGCCTGAGAGACCGTGGATATTTCAGTGTAAGAAGAAAAATCCAGTGTGATAGTGGCAGATCCACCAGAAGAAATATACATCATTAAAAAAAAACACACTCTGCTATAACATGTGGATATTTGATATTCTTAAATCTATGTCATAACCTACAGCATGACATCTTTTAGAGTATTTAAATGGGTTTTATTTGTGGTCTTTAATTTTCATGCATTTGTAAGGTAGCAGACCTCACACAGCTGATGCAATTAACTCAAATCTCACTTTTCTCTTTACTCTGATCCTAAACCTGCTTTTATATCTCCCTACATTGAAAAAAAATTGAAAATACTATATATGAGAGTCCTTATAGGCTACTTTATTAACCGCTTATTTGGACGTGTTGGACATGCACATGTTAACATGATTTGGCATACCATAAGGAGGCCTACACTACACTCATCAGGCTACTGGTCAATCAGCATGACCAGTTAACCCATCAGAAACAGAGTAAATACGCTATAATCGTAAAAGGCGCGTCATCTCTAAATTTCATTAAACACATTGTCTGTGTCCGTTCATACAACAAAATACAATAAACACCTAATGAATACCATGCAATACAAAAATCTCTAATATAACGTGAATGCCAACCTTGCCGCTGGCAGTGCCTCCAGCCACACCAATGAGGAAAGGCTGCTTATTATTGCTCTCATTTTCGGCTTGGTCACCTGGCTTTGTCTCGCTGTCTCCTGCCATGCTTCATCTGCAGCGCGATGCAGCCCTCTGACACATGGAGTGTCTGTGCTCCTCCCACTGGATGATTGTGTCGATGATGAAGATGTTGATGATGCGGATGTTAGTGGGGACCCAAAAATATGATATTGGTGGTTAATGTGATGGTGCTTATAATGATGATAATGTTGTTAGCGATGAAATCAGAGTAGGGAAGGTTATATTAAAAATTCATCATGATCGCAATCTGCTGTTTCATGTTTGTGCTTGTCTTTTGTGCTCGTCTTTTATTATGAAGCACTTTGTAACTTTTATTTTGAAAAGTCCAACATAAATTGATATTCTTTCGAACTCAGCTCTTTATTGCCACATACCACATTTGAAATAATGTGTTAAAACAATGTTAATTTCAACTAATTAGCTTATCAGTAATGCTTTTAGTATAATAACCTTCCATTTAGGCTATAAGTTATAAGCTTTGTAGTGAACATGTTTCGTGATTGTTTTGACACTGTCAGAAAGATGCTTTCCATCATTATGCTAATCTTATACATAGCTTACAGGAGACAAAAATACACTGTAATCTGACAATTTAGTCTAAAAACATGACCAAATGTGCACCTCTATGATTCGGTCATAAGCATATACATACAGTCTAGGGTCATAAGTAGTTTTTAATTATAGAAACATACATTTCTTTTTCTGGTCAGGCTGATGAACCGGAAGTGCTCTCCAAATGTGTGACCTCTGCAGCAATGCTGACCTGGCTCTTTGAAACTAAACATAGGATAAGTGTAATGTGGTCAGAGTATTATCTCGAATAAAAGGTATTATATTTATACATCTCTACGGTCAGCTAACGGGACATTATCGCCATGAGTACTATGTTTGCAGACACGATTCTGATCGTGTTCATCTCTGTTTGTACAGCGCTGTTAGCCGAAGGTGGGTGAAATCCTCCTGACAGGTTTACTGCATACATTTTGCTATCACCAAACAAACACGCTGATAAATTAACTTTTTACACCATTTTGGAATGCGCAGCGAAGAAGCATTGCTATCTTTATGTGTAATCACTGATTTTAATGTATGTATTTTTAAGACCCGCGGTTTCATAGCTGGGCACCAGATTTGGCCAACCAAGCTAATGGTTGACATTAGCGTCAAAATGGCGAAGGCAAGGAATAGAACTTCCGGTCAAAGTTTCACAATAACAGTCTTTGGAGACCCTACCAGAAACGCTTTTTATAACGTCAGTGTGAAGTTTTCTTTAATCGTTCCTCTCTATTTCAGCCAATCTAGTTAACAAAATCAAAATAAACATATGCATTACAGTTTAAGGGCTTGATTTTTATTGTTCTGTCAAGCTAATATGACCTGACGACAGGTTAAGCCTGTCGAGTTTGTAATAAAAATAATAAATTATGTTATACAATATGGATAAAATTCTCTGTGGCAGTTTGTATGGTTTATTATGTAGTATAATTGTAATATACACTCACCGGACATTTTATTAGGTACACCTGTACAGTTGTATGCATTTCAGTGTAACACTTCTACCTTAACATCTGTGTTTATGAAGCTCAAAACGTTTCAGTTTTTGGTGAAATTGTCATAAATGTATAAAATCAATTATATGTTTATCAATTATATGTCATAGTTAAAGGTGATGTTGTACTGGTCTACATTATATTCAGAGGTGATCCTACTATTCTGACCCTCTCATGTATGTAGCTGGGGAGGACAAAAAAAGAGACCTCTAACACAGATGTTAAGGTGGAAGTATTGCAGTGAATTGCATACATTTGTACAGGTGTACCTAATACAGTGGGCAGTGAGTTTAAATTGCTGTATTAATATAACAGAAACCTCGTCTTTTGATTTTCTCAGGGATTACCTGGGTATTGGTGTATCGGACTGAAAAGTACAAGAGGCTAAAGGCTGAAGTGGAAAAACAAAGCAAAAAACGTAAGTGACTCAAGCCTTTTACCATTTTTACATTCATTGTTTGTCTTTGGACTGATGAATATGTTCACCGTTGCTTGTTTTATATCAGTTGAGAAGAAAAAAGAAACTATTACAGAATCTGCAGGACGTCAGCAGAAGAAGAAGATTGGTAAGAACCCAGTGAATAAACTGTAATACTGTAAGTTGTACAACCTGATCAGGAAGACCTCAACATACTGCCTTTATGAACTGATCTTTTCCTCACAATGGCAGTGTTTTATGATAAGTGATCTGTATTTCTCAATGTGTTACAGAAAGACAAGAAGAGAAACTGAAGAACAACAACAGAGACCTTTCTATGGTGGGAACTGACTTGTTTACAGTGACTATACAGTATTATAGCTAAACTTCGTGCAGTAAGATGCATTAATATAATCTCAGTATGATCATATGAGATGAGATCATGCCTGGGTTTGTTGTTGTCCTGTCATCATATCTGTGATCTGTACTTTAGAACAATCATATGAGAGATCATTAACAGGCTTACCTATAATATTACATTATCATTACAGTGACTATCGGCCTGTAGAATTCCAATCCCAAAGAAGCCCCACCCAACCAGTTACAATGGCTACCGGCCTGTAGCACTGACCTCAATTATTATGAAGTGCTTCGAGCAGCTGGCCATGCAGAACGTCAAGTCCATCCTTCCTCCCTCTCACGACCCATTTCAGTTTGCATACAGGTCAAACGGGTCCCCAGAGGATGCCATTACTGCTGTTCTCCATCCAGCCCTCACCCACCTAGATTCATAAAACTCGTAGGTGCGAATGCTGTTCCTAGACTTCAGTTCAGCATTCAACACAATCATCCCCCAGCTGCTTACACAAAAACTTGGACATTTGAGACTCAAAACCTATCTCTGCAACTGGGTGCTGGACTTTTTAATAGGGAGGCCACAAAATGTGTGGGTCAGCAGCAACATCTCCAAGACATCACGCTGAGCGCAGGGCTGTGTGCTCAGCCCATTGCTCTTCACACTGCTGACCCACGACTGTGTGCCAACCTACAGCACCAACCACATTGTCAAGTTTGCAGATGACATGGCTGTAGTTGGCCTCATTACCAACAGTGATGGGGGCATGGGGACAGAGGAGGGGAGATTGGACAGCACCCATCGACGGTGCTGTAGTGGAGAGAGTGAGCAGTACCAGCTTCCTGGGGGTGCACATCTCTGAGGACCTCACCTGGATCAACAACACCACAACACTGGCCAAGAAAGATCAATCATTCCTCTACTTCCTCCGCAAACTGCTCCCTCAATGTGGGGAAGACTAAAGAGATCGTTGTGGACTTCAGGAGAAAACCTCTAAAGCACCCCCCCACTCTGAGGGGGTGCTTTTTATGTTCTGTAGTGGGTCACAGTCCGGGGGCAGGGGGACAGAGGAGGGGAGATTGCGGCATCCCTCTGCCTTCCCTTATGGACATTTTTCTCCTCCAGGCTGTGAGGATGCTGAATGCTGTCCATTCTCCCCTCTTCTGTCCCCCTGCCCCCAGACTGTGACCCACCACAGAACATAAAAAGACTACCTCTGCTGTTTTCACAAACCCAGTACATTCCCCCTCTTGTTATATTACATGTAAATCTGCTGCTGACTGTTTTTACCGTCATATGGGCTGCTGTTGGTCATTTGCACTACTGTCCATGTGCATCTCAATCTCACAACAATCTGACAATCTTAAGGATAATAATAATAACCGCCTTTATTTGGCCAAGTATGTTACACACACAAGGAATTAGTTTCCGGGACAGAACCGAGGCAGCCATCTGTGGCGCCAACTCACACCAATGACTCTAACCATCGGGGGCAACTTGGGTGTCCAGTGTCTTGCCCAAGGACACTTCGACATGTGGACTGCAGGCACCGAGATTCGAACCTCCAACCGGAGGGTTGGGAGACAACCACACTACCCACTGATCCACAGTTGCCCCACTTGTTATTATTTGCACTACTGTCACTGATTGTACAGGATTTGAGTCATAGTCTATTAGGTTGTACTGTTTAGTTTTATCCTAATCACTAGTTACTTTTAATCTTTCTTGTGTTTCTTTGTAGGTGCGCATGAAGTCCATGTTTGCCATCGGCTTTTGCTTCACAGCTCTAATGGGCATGTTCAATTCCATGTAAGTGTTACACACAGTAATGTCAAGTCGATATAACAATTTTCTCTTCAGATTTTAAAATGTAAACAAAATCTAGTTCAAATGTTTGTGGTCACCTCCTTTTTTCACTTATTATTTTGACATTTAAGCAGTTCAAGTGCAGTATATATCCTTAAAAGGTACAAAGAAGTAAACTAAAATGTATGTAAATGTCGTATAAAACAGGCCTTCTCAGGGATTAAGTCATAGGATCACTTCCATCTTTTCTTCAGCTCTAAAAGTAAACAAAGCCTTGTCAACTGCTGCACACAGTTCCTACAGGTGTCCTGACATTTGTTGATGACTTACAACAACAAATTTTGTTTATACACAGGTAGTGTTTGGGGAAAAAAACTGTTGCTACACCCACTGTAGCATTATTTGGAAAAGGCCATTAAGAGTTTCATGCTATAACAGGATAATGAGCCATAAAACCATCTGCAGGCTGCCTAGAAGAAAAGAACAAGATGGTCAGCAAAGAATGGCACTGGTGTGTTCAGTTGTTGAATTACACTAATAACAACTGGAAAAATAGAGGTGACCCAAAGATTTTGAATGGCAGAATATACCTATATTATCATTTGTGGATTGCGATAAAGAGGGTTGGAATGACTCGATGAGGACGAGCTTCATGCTGAGGCTAAAATGTCTTTTATGGTTAAACATGGACCTTTTATTTTGATATGCACCTTCAGTTTATCAAATTGAATTGAATGAGAACACAGTGAGGTCTGTCCCACTTGTCAGAAGGTGACTCAGATAAAACGACTATGATCTGTTATGCTTCTTTAAAAGTAGAAGATCAGGCCTGTGTTATGGATAGTATAACTGCTGAGCATTTAAGGCTTACAAAAAATAACCGATGCTTTGCTTGCTATTTATTTTACTGGCTTCAAAGTCCATGGTTCTCTATGTGACTCTGTCTGAGTGAATAACAGCACTGCCATCAGTAAGAAATTCCCTATAGGGATTAATAAACCCTAACCAATTTAAACCTCCTGTTATATTGTGGGTCAAACTGTAAAGTTAAAAAACTAAAAACACTAGTTAAAAATATTTTATTGGTATGAAACTTCTTCTGCTTGGCTTAATATGTGTAATCAACATATAAAATGAAAATGGTTCATTTCACATATTTGCAACCTACCCCCACATGTTTATATTGCAAAGATATTGTTCAGGTCAATTTGACCTGGAACAGAAGACGTGTCTCATGTTTATCAACATCACTTCATAAAAAGAAAAGATTTCAAAATGTAAAATAAAAAAATAAAAAAAATCAGTGTCATAAAAATAATGTCTTTTATATGTAGGTCTTTCCAATGTACATTAAAAAAAGTTTTAACATGCTTTTTTTTTTTATGAAAAATGAGTGCATTATCCTCACTGAACCATAATCTGTGAGAGGTAAAGAACACAACTGCACTAAATAATGATTGAAATGGTTAGTAAAATTAAAATTAACCCAGGAACATCACCGCTGTTCCTGAGAAATGAACATAACAAGTGGGTTAATGTGCACAACAGTCGTGGACTGTCATTAACACAGTTTGCATTTTAAAATCCGCCACACATTCTGTACTGGGGACGGATCGGGACTGCAGGCAGGCCAGTCCAACACTCACACCCTTTTCCTCCACAGCCAGGCCTTGGTAATGTGGCAGTGTGAGGTTCGCATTATCCATCCATCCATCCATTTTCCTCCACTTATCCGGGACCGGGTCGCAGGGGCCGCAGTCTAAGCAAAGATGCCCAGACTTCCCTCTCTCCAGACACTTCCTCCAGCTCCTCCGGGGGAAT